TCCTTGATGCTTTTTGCATTCAACTGACTCTTACTAGATTTAACTGTCCTCTTTATGGTTCTTATCATTTTATAGTAGTAAAAATACCTAACATTTACCTGACATTTATTATTTAGGAGCCATCATTTTTTTTTAAGATTTTTAAAAAATTTATATATTTGACAGAGGGAACACAAGCAGGGGGAGTAGTCTCCCCACTAAGCAGGGAGCCTGACATGGGGCTCGATCCTAGGACCCTGGGATCATGACCTGAGCCTAAGGCAGAGGCTTAATGACTAAGCCACCCAGGTGCCCAGTAACCATCATTTTAGATCAGGTTGTTAAACTAATGCCCGTGAGCCAAATGCCCTTCAGCCTTCTTTTTGTATGACCCACAAGTAAAAGTGGTTTTTACATTTCTTTAATGGCTAGGGAAAAAAAATCAAAAGAATAGTATCTTATGGTATGAAAATTATATGAAATTCCCATTTCCATGTCCATAAATCAAGTTTTATTGGAACACAGCTATGCCCATTTGTTTACATACTTCCTGTGCCTGTTGTCGTGGTACAGTGGCAGACTTGATTGGTTGTAGTTGAGACTACATGTGGCCTGCAGAATTGAAAACATTTACTATCTTCCTTTATAGAAAATTTGCCAACTCAATTTCTAGTATCTTCAATACTTTGGTGATAGTCTGTTGTTTTCTGGCTTACATTGTTTCTGTTGAAAAGTCAGCTGTTGGTTTTATTGTGCCTTTGTAGACAGTGCATCTTTTTTCTCTGGGATTGTTAGCAGTTTTATGATGTGAATAAATGTGATTTTATTTTTTCTTCTTGGGGTTAATGGTGTTCAGTGGTCTGATGTGTGAGCTGTTTTGGAAAAATCTAAGTAAGCCACTGTGTCTTCAAGTATTGTTTCTGTTGCGTTTTGCCTCTTGTACTGGGACTCCCAACTGCAAGTATATTAGGCCTTTTTAGTTTGTCCCATGGATCTTTTAGTCTTTTCGATGTGTTGCCCATCCTTTATTCTTCCTCCATTTCGGTCTAGATCCCTTACTGACCTACCCAGTTTTCTCATCATTTTTTAGAAGTGTCTAACCTGCTGTTAAATCCAGTTACATACTTTTAAAGCATCTTTTCTAACACTCTTTTTTTCCTGTTCAATTTTACTCTGTGCTGTTCCTTTCTTTTGTGAGAGATTATGTGGCCCATGACTTATGCCTGGGTGATGATGAGTCATATTGTATGTCTCTACTTACATTATGCTGAAAATGTGATGATTTCACTTACACTTACTCCATGAATGTAGCGATCATATCCTGGATGCCGAAAAGCTGACGAACCACTAGTAAAACTGATACCTAGATCAAATATATTGCCAAGTACAAATACAGCCAGAATTGACCTAGGAATCATGTAGATTACAAACTGAATAAAACACTTTTAATGAAGAGACAAGCATACTGGAGCATGACATCTCAGGAAAATGAGCCAGATATTAGGGTTCCCCATGTATTACCAAAATCTTTACATAATCTGAGTATGAACAACTGAGATGCTCTATTATTTTGGCTTTTGCTACTTAGGATGTTGCTCTAGGAATTATGTGGCATGTCTCTTCAGGAAGAAGAAGATAATGAAAACCAAAGTTGAATACTCCATTCAACTCGGCATTATTTTGTTTGTTTGTGCCTGACAAATACTTATGTACTTTGTGCTAACAGGAATATAAAGATGAGCAAGGTACAATTTCTGGTCTAAAAAATTTTGGCATCTAGTAGGGATAATGGAAGGAATAAAACACACTTAAGAAAGCAAGGCAAAATTGCCACAAGAGATAGAAACAAAATACCCAGGATTTAAAACCAACCAGGGACTCACAGTATGGAAGGATCACATCTAAGTGATCTAGGATGTGATCTTACTGGAAGGATCTTTGCATAGAGAGGAGAGCCATGGGAAAGAGGGATGGAAAAGAAATTTGAATGATGTTGAATACTGAACTAGTCATTGTTTATTAGTTTTCAGTGGGTAAGGAATGATTGTGTCTACCCAAGGTAATCGTGTACTAGAACTATTCTTTAGGAAAATGATGTTAGCTGTAGAATGTGGGGTAAATGAGAATAAGGGGAGACAGAAAATAAGAGGCTTTTGTAATAATTGGGGTGGCAGTGTAAACAGTAGGCAAAGGAAGAACTTGAGGGGTTCTCTAGCTTGCCTTTCCGGATGAAGACTGATCTTGTGTTTTGTGTCCCTAGTACTTAATTTAGTCCCTTGGAAATTTCCTAGTGATTCTGTTATTTGAACTGTAATTTCAGAAGTGATATGATAAAGGAATACATTTTTACTACTGAGAAAATGTTGACACTATGATTGTTGACCCTCCGTGGCCTTGATCTCAGGAATTGACCCACCGCCTGCATTCTCTGCTCCTATGCCAAGTGGCTAAAGAATCCTAGAAGGTGTCATGAAATAATGCTGATGAGGCTACCTGCAAATTTGTGCAGTATAACTCAGTCATTTGTAGTACTCAGACCTTCATGTCATTCTTTTCTTACAACTTTTCCCAAGGCTAGGAGTTATCAATGAGAGATGGTGAGAAGTCAGTAGGGCAAGGCTTTTAAAGATAAAGATGGGGACAAGTGTAATCTAGATTTTGGAGGTATGGAATCTAAGAGGGGCACTGACAGGAAGAATCACAGAGGCTGAAGGAATCAAAGGTCATAACTGAAGATGAAAGATTCAGAATAGAATGTGCATAGGTTAAAGAAGATTCTTGTACTCAAAAGTAAAGTGGGAGGTGACAGTTTAGAGGTACAGACAGTCCCCAGCATGAGATTGTTCATGATTTTTTTACCTTACGATGTTGTGAACGCAGTACGCATTCGGTAGAAACTGTACTTGGAATTTTGAACTTTTCTTGGCTTAAGGGTACATGGTAGCATGTACTTGTGATGCTGGGCAGCGGCAGCGAACCACAGCTCCCTGTCAGCTACACGGTCAAGAAGGTAAACAACCAGTATACTTAAAACCATTCTGCACCCCAAACAATCATTCTGTTTATCATTTTCAGTACAGAATTCAATAAATTACATGAGATATTCAGTGCTTTATTATAAAATAAATAGGCTTTGAATTAGATGATTTTGCGTACATGTCTGCTAACATCAGTGTTCTGAGCATGTTTACAGTAGGCTAAGTTCCATTGTTCAGTGGGTTAGGTGTACTAAATGCATTTTCAGCTTACGGTGTTTTCACATTATGGTGGGTTTATCAGGATGTAACCCCACATCATAAGTCAAGGAAGATCTAACAGTTTGAAGAGTTGAAGAAGGGGTATTAAAACATGGTTGGCTCTGGATGTCAAGTATGCTAGGCACACCTCTACTCATGGCCATCGGCTTTCTCCCCAGACCTCCAAATTCATTCCAGTTGGAAACTATACTGTCTTGGCAAGTCTTTGAAGTCAGTCATGCTTGATGTCCCTTTTAATGCTGTGGTATCAGAATTGTGTTTTATGAACAGTTTTTTTTTCTTTTCTTTTTTTAAAGACTTTATTTGACAGATCACAAGTAGGCAGAGAGGCAGGCAGAGAGAGAGGAGGATGCAGGCTCCCCGCTGAGCAGAGAGCCCGATGCGGGCCTCCATCCCAGGACCCTGGGATCATGGCCTGAGCTGAAGGCAGAGGCTTAACCCACTGAGCCACCCAGGCGCCCCTTATGAACAGTTTTTTGAGTTGTTTGTATAAGTATGGAAAATGGCACTGTGAGGAAAAAAAAAGTATTTTCACATTTGATGTTGGAGTCATTTCTAAATTATAGTTACTTTGGGGCACCCGAGTGGCTCAGATGGTTAGGCATCTGCCTTCGGGTCATGATGCCCGGGTCCTGGGATTGCGTTCTGCATTGGGCTCCTTGCTCCGCGGGGGTCTGCTGCTTCCTCTGCCTCTCTGCCTGCTTGTGCTCTTTTCATCTCATGTATGCATGCACTCTCTCGCTCTTAAATCTTGAAAAACAAAACCTTGTTTACAAAATAAATTACTGTAACTTGAGTCAATGTAATGTGCCAGAGGCTTATCCCCCTTGCTGGTCCGGCAGCCATGCAAAAGTTCTTATTGTACCTGTCACTTGGCGAAGTGGATGTAGGTTAATAAAATCCATATAGCCACCATTCAGGCCAAGAAATAGAAATTACCCAGGATTCTTGAAGCTCTTATGAAATCTTCCCTGTGTAGCTGGAATTAGTTCATTTTCACTGCTTTATAGGATTCCGTTCTGATAGACACAGAAAATCAGTCTACTGTTGATGAACGTTTGTCTTCAGGCTCTTAATGTAAAATGGGACTGTGAACATTTTTAAAATTTTTATTGAGGTATAATGACATAGGACTGTTTCATGGGTACAGTGTAACGATTTGATATTGGTATATATTGCTAAATGATCACCTCAGTGAGTCCGGTAAACATCCATCACCAATACATGTTGCAATTTTTTTCTTGTGAGGAGAACTCAACAGTTTTCAAATATGCAGTGCAGTGTTGCTAACTTTCGTCACCATGCTGCACATTCCATCTGCACGTCTTGTCTAATAATTGGAAGTTTGTACCTTTTGACCTCCCTTCCCCCATTTTGCCCAGTTCCCACCCTCCACTCTGGCACCCAGACTGTTCTCTGTATCAGTGAGCTTGGTTGTTTCGGGATGTTTTAGATTCTACATACAGTATGTCTTTTTGTGACTTATTTTGCTTAGCAGGATACTCTCAGAATCCATCCATGTTGTCTTAAGTGACCAGATTTTCTCGTATGTCTGAGTAATAATAGTCCATTGTATGTATGTGCCCCATTTCCTTTTCCATTCATCACGCCTTGGACATGGAGGTTGTTGTTTTTATATCTTGGCTGTTGTAAATAAGGTGGCAGTGAACATGGGAGCGCATGTATCTTTTTTTCCTTTTAAGATTTATTTTTGGGGGAGAGAGTACATGCACGACTGGCGGGGGGTTGGGCAGAGGGAGAAACAGACTTCCTGCTGAGCAGGGGCCCAATGCTGGACTCTATCCTAGTATCCTGAGATCATGGCATGAGCCAGAGGCAGACACCCAGGTGCCCTGCATGTAGCTTTTCAAGTTAGTGTTTTTGTTTTCTCTGGATAAATACCCACAGGTGGAAGTGCTGGATCAGGAGGTGGTTCTGCTTCTGGAGGCAGCTTCCCACTGGGTTTCTTAGTGGCCGTACCAGTTTGCGTTACCACGAACAGTGCACTAGGGTTCCCTTTTCTCCACATCCTCAAGGAGTTCTTTGTATATTTGGATATTAACCCCTTATCAGATGATTTGCAAGTATTTGATCCCATTTGTAGGTTATGCCTAACATTTTGCTTTAATTAATTCTTTAATACTGTCTGGTTTGATACCACAGGAGTACCTGTATGAGCATCATCTCTGCACTGGTAACACTAAATACTGCATATTTATCCATTTATCTCCCTATACCCATTTTCAGAGAACAGTGTTTTATTAATCTTAGATGCCTGTCAAATGTGATAGTGCCGGAGGTATAAGGGAATCTAAATAAATGCTCTATTATAAAACTATTTTTTGGAAATATGACAAAACCATGAAGATATATAGTTGGTGTTCTATATAAATTTTCTTGGTGAATGACTGTTTTATAACAAGGTGAGAATAAGTTTTCACATATCCTTCCTACATTACCAAATGTTGATCATTGCAGAATGAATAGCAATATGCCATTTCAGGGATCTGTTTCATTCACGGATGTGACTGTGGACTTCACTCAGGAGGAATGGGAGCAGCTGGACCCCTCCCAGAGGATCCTGTACATGGATGTGATGCTGGAGAATTACAGCAACTTACTGTCAGTGGGTAAGGGCCTCTTTCCGGCGCAGCTTAGTGTCCATTACCAAAAACTCTTGAGTTTCTGAATTTCTGAGTGGTTTTGGCCTTGGGCTCCAGTTTCGCTGTGAGAGAGCAGACTCTTAAGCTGTCCCTTCTTTATTTTGGAGATTTCTGAAGTCCGGGCTATGTTCCATTAGCAGTTACCCGATATCAAATCAGATGTGATTTTCAGGCTACAGGAAGAGAAGAATAGGTAGCAGCATATTAACAATTGCCAGTTCACAAATTTCCAAGGAAGATGGCAAAAGAGGGAAGGAGGATCAGAAGCCAGTGGAAGTAATATCCTAGGAATTATGAATGGGTTGAAATACTTTAAAACATTTTTTAAAACATTTTTTAAGAATCAGTTTTTCAGGTTTCCAAAGCTTTAGGGATGGCCAAGACCAGATGACCTATATTGCTCAGATCTCAGAATCATACCTCCAACTACCAGTTGTACCAGTACCAGTTGTACCTGCAAAACTTTTGTATTTTTCCCTCACTCTTAGCATTTGCCTAACCTGCCCTAAAACTTTGTGATTAGTATTCTCAGTTTGCCAGAATGGTGACTTTGACATTTTAGGTCTTGGAATTGGTGTAATAGCCGTAAGGAATTTTTTTTTTTTTTTTTTAATTTTTTTTAGCATAAGGGTGATATCTTTGTCCTAGACACAAATGGCAGCAGGATCACAAGAGTCAGGAATAATCAGGAACACACAGATGAAAATAAAGGTTATTTTAGGTCTAGGTCAAGGGAATAAATCTGATCCTTAAGATTTCTTTCAAATTAAAGCAGGGACAAGATGGGTATAGAGAAGAAATTAAACATAGTAGCATAAAAATGATTGTCTCAAGGATATGGGACTCTTGGATTAATTTTTTTTCCTACAAAATAGGAGTTCTGGATCTGGTCATCCACTTGCAAAGGTAAAGAGATGTGGATCTTTGCAGCACTATCAGCTCTGCAGACCTGTGTGTTGGCTCTAGGAAGTTATGTGGCAGAGATGAGCAGCCCACAGTCATTCAGAGCCTAAGGGGAGCTAAACTCAGATCAGTTTGGCCTTTTTTCCCTTAACATCTTCATCTGTGCTGTTTGGTGTCCTTGAGGACAATTTTTTTTTTTTTTTAAAGATTTTATTTAGTTATTTGACAGAGATCACAAGTAGGCAGAGAGGCAGGCAGAGAGAGAGAGAGGAAGGGAAGCAGGCTCTCCGCTGAGCAGAGAGCCCGATGTGGGGCTCGATCCCAGGACCCTGAGACCATGACCCGAGCCGAAGGCAGAGGCTCAACCCACTGAGCCACCCAGGCACTCCCCATGAGGACAATTCTTCATCTCCTTTGTCCCCAGACTTGCCAGCCTTCCCACATCATTTGTGCCCTGTTCGGTGCTCTTTGTTTTTTATTTCACCTTTAGGGCCATTTTGTAATCTGTCACAGCTACTTAGATCCATTGTCAATTTCTACTTTTTTTTTTTTTTTTTTTTTTGCCAAGGGCTTTTGTCTTTCAAAGCTTAAGAAGTAGGTAAAATTTGCATTGGAGATTCTAATACTGGAAGACTGGATCCCACACTCAAGAGGCAGCCTCACACTTCCATTCTCTAACGTGGTACTTCATGTGCTCTTTCCTAGAGGTGTGGAAGGCCGATGACCAGATGGAGCGGGACCGCAGCAGCCCAGATGAGCAGGCGAGACCATTTATCATTTTTAAGAACCAAACCCCAATGGAGGAAAGAGGTAATATCTTCGGAAAGACATTTAATCTGAGCACAGATTTTGTTTCTTTAAGGCAAGTACCCTATAAATACGACTTATATGAAAAAACTTTGAAATCGAATTCAGACTTACTTCATAGTAATCGAAGCTACATAAGAAAGAGACCTGATGAGTGTAATGGATTTGGGAAAGCACTCCTCTATCTGAAGCAAGAGAAAACCCATAATGGGTTAGAGTACTCCGAATATAACAAAAGTGGAAAAGTCTTTAAAGAAGGCATTTTTAAACACCAGAAAATAAGAAATTTGGTACAACCTTTTATTTGTAATTACTGTGACAAGGCTTTCTCCTTTAAGTCACTCCTCATCAGTCACAAGAGAATACACACTGGAGAAAAACCTTACGAATGTAATGTATGTAAGAAAACCTTCTCCCATAAGGCAAACCTCATTAAACATCAAAGAATTCACACAGGGGAGAAACCCTTTGAATGTATTGAATGTGGAAAAGCCTTCACCCACCAGTCAAACCTCATCGTCCACCAGAGAGCACATATGGAGAAGAAGCCCTACGAATGCAGTGATTGTGGCAAGACATTTGCCCAGAAATTTGAACTTACTACACACCAGAGAATTCATACGGGAGAACGACCCTATGAGTGTAATGAATGTGCAAAAACCTTCTTCAAGAAATCCAACCTCATTATACATCAGAAAATTCACACCGGGGAGAAGCGCTATGAGTGCAGTGAGTGTGGGAAGTCCTTTATCCAGAACTCTCAACTCATCATACACATGAGAACTCATACGGGAGAGAAACCCTATGAATGTACTGAATGTGGCAAAACCTTCAGCCAGAGGTCAACCCTTAGGTTACACTTGCGAATCCATACAGGAGAGAAACCTTATGAGTGTTCCGAATGTGGGAAGGCCTTCAGCAGGAAATCCCGCCTCAGTGTCCATCAAAGGGTTCACCTGGGGGAAAAGGCCTGAGACTGTAGCCAGCCGGCCCGTGGCAACCCCTCCCACCCCAGCCCTTCCCGAGGGGAAGAAACCGCACGAAGGTACTGAAGGAACATGGAAATTCACAGTGAGCTACAATCCATCACATCGAAAAATGTGTAAAAACAGGGTCCCCTCCGTCCAGTGTTACACCAGAAGTTAGCTGTGATGCCCAGCTAAAGAAGATCGAGCAGCTTATGGCCAAGTGTAAACAGACATGCTCAGTTGTATTACAGTGAGTATTTTAAAATCTCGAATTACGCAAGAATGAAGTATTCTGGGCAGTAGCATAAAGGATCAGTACCTTAGGAATTTAGCGGTTATGTGTGCTCCTATCTTGGGTCTACACATGTAATCTTGTCCTCTGACAGTAGGGGCACAAATAAGATTTTCAGTACCTTCCAAGCCCGTATGCATTCCACATGAAACACGTGACAGTTTCTGTGGCGTATGGCCGCTGTTCTCTCCTCCTTGCTGCCCTGGAGAGTCGGTCTGCCATCGGTCTGCCTCTTCAATAAACAGAAGACAACGTTGAAGTTTTAACTTGCTTCTGGGGTTGCTGGAAAGCATTCTTCCCATCAGTATGTAAGTGAGTGATCATCGGGAGGGGATTGGGAGAGTGCAGGAGCCCGGTGGGCCGGCACCCCGTGCCCCAGCCCACGAGGCGCCATCGCTGGGGTGCAGCTGCCGTACAGGTGCTTACTCCGGATGCATGTCGTTCAACATGGTGTATAACCCAGAAACTACGTGTACTTTTATTTGTGCGTTTCCCTATTTCTCCTAATATTTTACAAATTGTCTTACAAAAAAGTAGGATGTGTATGTGGTTTGCAGAGGTTACATTTTAGAGACCTTAGAGAAAAAATTTAAGAAACTGTCAGTAAATGTGTTACTGCTTTTTAAAATGTCCATGTGCACAACACACTTTAGAAATGCGTTCTTGCCACATTCTGTTTAAAGGAGGCATTTCCACTCCCTGAGTTTCATGGTCACCTCCCGAAAGCATCTCCCTTCGGAAGTCGAGTAGAAGTTAAGCCTTGCCTTTAAAGGTTCACAAACAGCTTAGAAGTTACACTTTTCGGTGATCTCTCCATATGTTTAACAATTAACCTAAAAAGCTTTTCGCATACCTCAGAGGCAAACCATCATAGTATTGATTTCAAATTCCCAAGTTTCTCTCCTGATCTGTCATAAATCGCACACCAGATTTGTCACTGGCAACTATAACTGGCCTTGTGTCTTCCTTGTTCCTGAATGTCACTGATGTGTGTGAATCTGTATGAGTGGGAGAGACTTTCTGAACAGATTTACCAGAACAGCTATAGTCCAGGAAATCTCTGTCTTTCTAAATTGTCATCTTGTCTACTACCAACAAGGAAGCAGGGGAAAGATTCATTTCATACACCGCTCTTAGACATGTGTCAAGTGTGACTCTTAACATTAAGAATACACCTGCCCTTCAGTCCAGCAGTCTCACTCCTGGGACTCTATCTCTAAGACAACAAAGTGCCAGTACTTAAGATTCTATGTTTATCAACGTATATTGTATTTTTTGATAAGGACAAAAAAAGGAAACAATGTGAATGACCATCAGAAAGAGAATGATTGAATAAACTGCAGTAAAAATGTACCATGGCTGGATGGTATTCCGTGGAAAAGAATGTGTAGGAGCAAATGCCTCCAGGTCAGATGAAAAGAAGAGAGGGCGGGGGGAGAGGAAAAGGGGAGAGAGCGTTTGTGTGTGTACACATTTTTAAAATAAAGATCTAAGTATATGTGTGTTTGTGTGTATTTGTATGATTTTTTGGTCCTGGATAATAAATTCTAAATATCCTTAAGTCTAGTGGAAAATGTTTCATGCATTCCTTGGTCCCTGAATTAGCTCATTTATACTAAAATGCCATAACTCACTTGTAACACAATTAAATCATTATTCATAATTAAGTAATTAACATTAGTTAACACAACATGAGGCAGGTTCTCATACTTTATAAACAGCTCTAGCTTTCATAGCTGTAGGGTATGCTTGAGCCTGTGTTCACTATGATAACACATATTTGACACAAGGAAACCTTTAATACAAAAAAACAAACAAAAAATCCCGAAAAGGAAAAACCCATGAAAAAATTTCAGGGAAGCCAAGGTCATTATCACAAATCAGCAAGTTGCAAATGCTTAGAGAAAACATACCTACCTTTACACATACAAAGGTAACCATTGGGGTGACTGTCCTTTCGTGGGCTGTTTGCTCCCAAGGTCCTAGAAATCCAGATCAGGGGAAAAAAAAATCCCTTGTAATCCTCATAAATCAAAGTGGTTTTAGATGAAACTTCTCCTGAAACCGGTTCTTACAGCCTGGGCACAGAGCCGCATTTCGGTCTTGCGGGATGCTGGGGACAGTAGGCCAAGAGGCAATGTACTTTGCACAGCAAAACCCAGCCCAGAGGGGTCTCCAGATTCTGACCTCTGCCTATCTGACTCCCAACACCCACATCCACTGCACTTGACCCCATTACCGGTCTTGATTCCATTTGATTTTTTTTTTTTAAGATTTTTTTTTTTTTATTTGACAGATCACAGCAGGGGGAGCAGCAAGCAGAGGGAAAGGGAGAAGCAGACTCACCAAGCAGGGAACCCAATGTGGGACTTGATCCCAGGGCCCTGGAATCATGACCTGAGCCAAAGGAAGACACTTCTATTTCCACAGATAACCTTTTCATAACTAAAATGCTTAGATACTTACACTTCTCCCCATTGTTTAATGCTTTATAAATTTAAAGTTAGGGATCATGTTGCATAAAGCTGGCATGGATAAATTTGATTGGCATCTCTCTACTCTGAAGTCTAGGGATGGTGGGGGGTTATAGGTCGGAGGAAACTGCGGGGTGAGAGGCTGAGGCACAGCTTGCAAAAACATGGCAATGTGAGATGCCGTGGGTCCTCAGGGTTGGGGGAGGAGGTGACTTTGCGGAACGCAGCTAGAGGTTTCATTCCAGGCCCCCCCGCCCCCGACTCTGTCTTCGTTCTCTGTGGCTGCACGATGACACAGAGCCCCTCTCCCAACCAGACAGCTGGTCTGGACATCAGGAACCTGGGCCTCGTTTGGCTAGAATGTTTCTTGACGCAGATCCTTACCTGGATTGTCCCATCAAATCCAGCCGGCCTGAGGAGAGTGGACTCTTGGTACCTGCTCTCCACTTCCATCTTCTGCCTTGGCTAGGTCTGTACTCCGGGGATTCTGAAGGCGAAAACTCCCGCAGCTCATCCTGCTGAGCCCGAGTCAGGAGAAGGGGTCTGGGACCCTGCTCCGGTGCTCCAGATCTCAGCGCAGTTAGTGACCTCATCCTCAGTCTGACTCTTCCATCCCGAGAGGCTGCTCTTCCAGCTCAGACGTACACACTGGATGTACGTGATAGGTTTGAATTAAGGACAATCTACCTTTCTCCGTTTTATAAGGACTGTCAGAATGTTAACCAAAATACAACAAACCAACCAAAACACACCTCTCGGGGCTAGTGAGACTCGTGAAAGAATCCAGAGATGGGGACCGAGGACTTCAGTTACCGGAAAGGGAGCATAACCCCCCCCCCCCGTGAGAAGCCCGGACCACAGCTGGGAACACTGACGGTGGACGTGAGGACATGCATTCACTCCAAAAGACATTTTGAGCACCAACAAGGCAGCAGGCGTCTGTGGCCCACCAGGGACACAGTGGGAACAAGAGCCTGCTGGGCCGGAGGGCTCCTGTCTGGGAGGTGTAGAGTACTGGCTGTGCTTCCCCAGAGCTGAAGGGAAACCCGGCCCCAGGGGCCACGCTGCGGGAAGGTGGAGACACAGGTATGGGCTGGGCCTGCCGCCGTGAGAAAAACCAGAAGCCACAGGAAACCTCAAGTAAGGAAGAGCGTCATCTGCTTTTTAAAGAGTGAACTTGATGCTAACTGGGAGGGGGCCTGGGGTAGGTGCCCAGAAACAGAAACCCGCCACTTAACAGGAAACCCTAGGAGCCGAAGTTCTGCCACGTCGTGGCCCCCCCTTCAATGGCTTTCAACGAAATTTCAAATAGCAACCAAATGCTTTCTCGATTACCGACTGGTGGCAATCAGTGAGAAGTCTTCTTGCAAACTCAAGTTCACTTAAATTCCTGCTTTCCTAGATTTTTTTTTTTTTTTGGAGATTTTACTTCTTTGACAGAGACACAGCAAGAAAGGCACCACAAGCAGGGGGGAGTGGGAGAGGCAGGCTTCCCGCCGAGCAGAGAGCCCAATGCGGGGATTCCAGGATCCCAGGACTCGGGTCATGACCTCAGCGGAAGGCAGATGCTCAAGGACTGAGCCACCTGGGGAACCCGCCCCTGCCCAGATCTCTTCCTAATGTCTCCCGGTGTTTGAACCATTCCTCTTCCTCCAGCCCGCCCAGAGTCATGAGAATTACCCGTTCTTACCGCAAAGCCCCGGAATTCCACACCCCAAAGGACATTTAGAGTAGCCGTCCAGGTGATCGGGGACAGGCCAGACCTGAGCGCGTCCTCCACCGGGTCGAGGCTGAATGTGGGACGGGGAGTTCTCTGAGGCTGGTGTCCCTGCAAGTGCCGGAGTCGTTACCGAAAGTGCGAGAAGGGTAGTGATGCCTCTTAGCAAAGTGAGGAGAGGCCAGGACGGAGCCGGGGCTGCCCCTTCAAAGTGACGTGGCAGAGACCACGACGTGGGAAGAACGCTCGTGCTGGGCGGTATGTGTTTCAGGGTAGCAGGAGGCCTGTGGGACTGTGGCCTCATCGCTTTGCTCGGGACAGCAGACACCATAATGTTGAAAGATAGCGCCAGACTCTGTTGGCGGCAAGCGTCGGGCTGGGGGAGGGGCAGGGAGCGGCTCCGGCCCGAGTGCGGGACAGGCCGAAGGGCGGGCGCGGCCCGGTCTGGGCAAGGAGGGCCGCCGAGGGGTCGCCGCTGGGACGAGTGGCCGTTGATGGAACAGGCCATCCGGAGGGACGGGTGACGGGCGGCAGGTGCGAAAACACGACCAGACGGGTCAAGCTGCTGAGGACGCCTAATGGCTGCCCGTGGCCCGAGGAGGTCAGACGCTTCAGACGCCGGAACAAGTATTAGCAAGAGCGGCCGCGCGGACGGCAGCAGCCGGGCCGGTCCCTCGGTGCCGCTCGCGGCCGCGCTCTGGGCAGCACGCTGCGGTCTGCTCTCTGCGCGTTCGCTCGCTGAGGAGTCACCTGCTCCCGCCCCCGTGTCATTCCGAGTCCCCGGGCCCCACGGGGTATCGTGGGTTCGTTCAGTCCGTGGCGGGATGTCACTCAAGAAAGGGACAAATATAAATGTCCCCGATGAGGGAGCAGAAGGCTGAGGACA